CTTGGCCATAGTCCCCTCACCGAGGCTGTACCCTGCTCTGTTTTGATCTGCATTCTGCCACAAGTACACAACCCAAGACCTCCCAACATACATCTCCACCATCCCAATTATCTGCCTCGTCACATGACAGTCCCTCCCTACAGAACCAACCTGCCCCAGAGTATGCCAGCATTTGCCCTCATCTTGAAAGAACTGCCCCCAGAAACAGTTGCTAATAATTATTTTAATCTTGCAATTTGTCATTCCTATTTTGCAAAAATGGCTACCATTCTCCTCTCCTTAACTGTAGTTTTTCTCTGGAATCTACTTTATAAACCAGAAAACTGACAGTGTGATACTTAGTTCCTACTTCAAAAAATATATAACTAGTTTAGCTGACAAGGTGTTAGAAACAGAACTATTCTTATATTTTTAACCTGAGAAGGGAAGAGAGAAAATGTACAATTTTCTGGCAACATAACCTGATTCTAAGAAGTTGCAATTTGACCGCTAGGATTTCAGTCAGCTTTGCATTGTTGTGGCCAAGAGACCTGATAACAACAATTAGAAAAAGATTATTTAGGGCTTATGGTTTCAGAAGTCCGCTTATGGTAGACCTACTCCATTGCTCTGGGCCCAAATGAGGTAGAATATCTTGGGAGAAGGATATAGAGGATGAAAGCAGTTCAGAATAGGGCAACCAGGAAGCAGAGAGAGCTCCTTTCATCAGGGACAAAACATCACCCCAAAGGCACACCCTCAGTGACTTATACCCTACTTGCCTAAATTACCACCTAGTTAATTAGTATCAGTGGATTAATCCACTGATTAGGTTAAAGTGCTTATAATCTGATCATGTTACCTATGAACATTCTTGCACACATGAGCTTTTGGGGGACACCTCTTATCTAAACTATAACAATCAGAAACCCTCACTCTCTGGAGAAACAGGCATATTTTGAAGTGACTTGCTACTGGAGAATCCTGCTTTCCAGACACAGAGCATAATAGCAGGAAGAAATGCTTCAGATTTTAAGCCACTTTTATGATTCATCTCTGTTTTTATGGATGTCCCAGTACAGTTCACCTCATTAGCTATTATAGAGATTTTAATTCTTGAGTTAATCCAGTGTTCATTCAACAGAATGAATATTAATATCTTTCTAATGTAATTTTTAATTAAATATAGCATCACCATTATTACACCCAAAAGATCTAAATAGAGTTTGAAAGAGAAGACAGACACTATCACAATAAAAAATCAGCAATTTCTGTTCACATGTTTTTCAAAAGGCTGATCACCTATGAAGTAATGAGAATAAATTGTGAGATAATGTAGGACAGATCTAATTAAGATAATGAGCTATGATTATGAACATGATTTTTCAGGGTTAAAGATTTTAACAAAAGGCAATCTATGGATATATTTTAAACATCCTCTCTGGTCTATTTGCTTATATTAGCTATGCCTATTTAAAAAGGAAAATATTCATCAAAAGTAATGACCCCAAGTCTGCTGCAACTGCAGGGTTTTAACTACTTTGCTATCACTGACACATTTAATAGTTTGACAGACATTTTTTTTAAACTTTGTAATTTGAATAAGGTAGCGTTTTAAAAAAAAATCAGTGTCATTCAAGAGAAAAGAGAGACACAGAACCAATGTTATTTATGCACCTTGAAAGCTGTATTATAAAGATATTTTGATTTAGCTAGTACGTATTTGGATGGATATTTCTGGAAGGAACTAACTAATTAGCCTGGCTTCAGCAGCAGTGGCAGGCAAGACAGTTGAGGGAAAGGCAGAATTAAGTTTTGTAGGTATGCCTGGGTGCCATCTCTGCTCCCTCTCCAAAGAGAGGACTCCAAGAGAGAAAAAATCAGAACAGGATTTATCATTGTTCAACAGTGGTATTCAGAAGAAATAAACATTTTCTGAGAAGTGTAGACCTGCGGCAAAAAAAAAAATATATATATCCTGGAAGGGTCTGATGGCTGCACTGCTTAGTAAAGAATCAGGATTGCACCTTTTGAAAGTAAGGCACCTTGACTGGTGCCCACTAAATCTGATGGGTGGAAGGAACTGCAGTCCAAGGGTGCTAACAGATCCTGACACATCCTGTTCCTTATCAAGGGTGGCTCTCAAAGGGAAGCATTTAAATATAATGGGTCAAACTTGTGCTACAGTGGATTCCAGGCCTCACATGGGTGCTGTTTACAGTTTGCTGTCATTTGCTTCAAGTAGCAGCATACCAGGGGTCTGTTTTAACCATGGGGCACCCTCAACTCATTCCTGGCATGGAAACTGTAGCTCTGTCACTGGCTTCACTGCACCTGTGGTAGGCTTTGGGGCTCCATTGATTCCCAAACCTCCAGGACCTTTCTGAAGGACTCAGTGGCCAAGCTGCCCTCTGCCCTTTGTCTGCACCCTTGTCTATCAACCAGGACCTTTCTGAAGGACGAACTTTGCCAGCTGGTGGATGCATATCCCTCAGCCTTTGAGGATGATACCAAGCCAACCTGCTCTCTGCCCTTTGTCTGCACCCTTTTCAATCAACCAAGATCTCATCCATGACCACAAACAGTAGCTATATTAAGTGGCTATATCAAGTAGCTCTTCATTGAAATCTCCAAAGCCTAAGGATCTTTGAAAAAGCATAAAGCAAAACAAAAGGAAGAACCCCAAAAGACTTAAGTGATGCATTTCAAAGTATGTGAGTTGTTAGTCCTTTTTTCCAGGATTTTTATTGAATTTTGATTTCCATTCCTTTTTTTTTTCTATTGTATATCCCCTCCCATCTCTTTCTCAATCTCTCTCCACTCAATGCCTGAGTTGTATATTAGAAAGAATATTGCCAATTAGTCAGAAAACTAGCATTTATAGTACTGGCACCAATTGTTACTAACCATATAGGTTTGAACAAGTTGTTTAACCTCTCTGACCCTTTGCTTCCTTAATCTGCAGTCTGTCATAAGACTCATGTGAGAAGCAAATGAGATCTTGAAATTTAAGCACACTGAAAATGATAAACCTCGATACATGCATAAGACTTTACACTATCAATATGTTCCATGTTAGATAAATTTGGGAAGCAAAGCCACTGTATGGAAAGGTTATCTCCAGTAATTAATTGATACCTTGAGAAAGTAAAATTATTATCTTTGAATTTAGTTTATTTCAAACGTAACCCTCAGGGCTTTGAGAGAGATGTGAGGATGTGGGAAGAAGCTGACCCCAGGTCCTACAATAGAATAGTCATGGGGACACCTTTCCCAAGGACCTACATCCATCAAAGACATTTATATAGTGCAACCCATCCTTTTCACTTTCACACTTTTTCTGGTCCTATTCATTCCCTTCCTCTCATCTCTCAGGATCAAGTGTGATAGACTAGAAAGAGTACTGTGGACTTTGTAGGCGGAGAGATCCAGCTCTGCCACTTAGCAATTGTCCAACTCTCTAAGGCCCAGGTTTCCATCTGTAAAATGGACTCACAGACATGGTCATGACTACTTTAAATTAAAAGTTCTTGGGACATTAATGTTTTGCTTCTTATTTATACTCTCACTGTTGGAAATTGCTAACAATACAGCAAACAGGACCAACCCTCCAAGGACAAAATTCCAAGGTGTTATGATTGGGGTTCTCCTCTCTCCCCATCCATATTTGTTCCTCCTCGAACTTCTCTCCTCCTAATTTCTTAATTTGGGTGGTGTCATGAACTTCTAGCTGCCTAATTGCCACCATTTAGTAATTGCCATGTCCCCCATTCCCCAAAACTAGTTCTTCCAACTTCCTCAGAATCTAGGACTAGCTCAGCTAATTACTATTTTTTTTCTGTTTAACATAAGTTTAATAGTGACAGGAAGCCCATTTACTTTCCAATGGATATTTCTATTTTAAGATCCAAATCCACTGCAGTGCTGGGGTGGGGATGGCACTGGCAACAGTGTAAATGAGTAAAACTCCTCTTCTCCTAAGCTTTCTGTACAAGAGACGGCCACCTCTCGGACACGAACTTTGCCAACTGATGGATGCATATCCCTCAACCTTTGAGGATGATACCAAGCCAAGCTGCCCTCTACCCTTTGTCTGCACCCTTATCTATCAACCAAGATCTCATCCATGACCACAAACACAGCTTGTCCAGCATACAACCAATTATCTCTCCAATCTATATTTCCTATCTTAGTGAATCAGCCTGAAATCTGATGAGTATCTTGAAAACACTTTTCTTCTATCCCTCTGTCGTGTTCAAGTCCTAATTTCTGGCAATGGATTCCTAGTTAGTCTTCCTTCCTCTAGTCTTCCTTCAGTTAGCTCTCTATAGGGCAGAGAAAATGGTTTTGCCAAAGAATAAATGGTATCATCTTTTGTTCTTATTCAGAGACCTTATATTTGCCCTCCTGGCAAATATAAGATGCTATAATATAGCATCTGGAGAACATCCAGATGCTAAACTTGGCATCCTCAGCCTTTTGAGCTCTCTGCATTTTCTCTAGTCTCCTTATCAGTCTTCCCAGCATTTCATTTATACTCTGAGCTCTTAACTCTCTCCAAGTCTTTGTATCCACTTCCCACACAGAATGACTTCTTCCTGCTTGATAAAGCTCTGCTCATCCTGTGGAATTTCACTCAAGGTACACCTCTTTCTGGGCTCTTTGTATACCATCCCTACCACCCATCTCTACTTCATCCCCATCCTGCATATCCCTATTTTATACAAATATCTTTTGTAGTTCCCAACGTAGTGTGTTTACAGTTATTTGCTAATATATTTGGATTCATAACTAGTCCTGATGGCTAATCTGGATTGTCAACTTCATTGCATTGAGAGATGCCTAAGATTAAGATGTTTCATGATATATCAATGAGGGTGTTTCCAGAAATGATTGGTATGTGAGATAGCAAACAGAGGGGGGAGACCCACCTGGATGTGGGCAGCATAATCCACTAGGCTGGGCCCCTGGATGAAACAAAAGGTGTAAGAAGCAGGAAGCCCATACAGACATAAACTTGATTCCTCTTGGGCTGGTGCTTATATTGCTGTCGTGATCAGTTGAAGACATGAGACTCCAAATCCTTCACACTTTCAAAGCAGACTCTGATGAGTGATCCTCCAGGGAGTTTCCAGCCCTTCAGTTCCTCTTGTTCTGAGGCTCCAGTCTCTTGAACAGTGTAGCTGCTGGGTCTTTCCAGCCTGAGGATGACCAATGTGGGACTATTCAGCCTCTGATTCTGTAAGCCAATCTAATAAATCCATTTTATAATTATATATATATATATACACATACATAAATGTGTGTGTGTGTATACACACACCCACACACACATACACATATCCTGTTGGTTTTATAGAACTATGATTAATACACTAATCATGAAGACAAGAACTGTGTCTTGGTCTTCTCTATATCCCCAGAGCTAGGAGTTGTCTTAGTATCATCATCATTAACCTTGGCAATCCCTGTCACCTTGTCTTCTAGTCATACATGTTAAGGCATCCATCCCACAAGCAAGCTGATGGGAGTTTAGTGGCAAGAGAAGAAAGTTGGATAGATTCTTCTAAATTTCACTTTTCCCAGATCTAGTTGGAGAAACAAGAAACAATTTGAAGTAACAGAAACACTCCTTCGTTCTTGAGTGCTTTAAATAATAGTTCATCTTAAAAGTATTGTATTTACATGGGTCTTCAAGTTGCTGTTTCAATCCTGGTTTTCCTAACACGGCTGCCCTGAGTACCTAAGTGTCCTTGTCTTCTTCCCTTTCCTCTTACTCCAAACGGAGCTGAGTTAATCGTGTATTAGGGAAGTATGTTGTCTTATACAGTACACAAGTGCTATAAACCTTGAAAATCTGACTTCAGTTACAATGAATTCTACCCCAACGTATTACCTCAAGTCATCCCAATATGGCTCAACAGTAATATCTGTCATATTTTGACACTGATGCAGTGTTATTCCAAAGAATCTATAATTTGAGATTTTTATTTTACCACTATTTTGTGCCTTATTCACATTTCTCTAATGCTTGACTCTCAAGGCCTGTTATGGTTTAGAAGAGAGGTGTCCCCCAAAAGCTCACGTGTGAGACAATGCAAGAATGTTTACAGGAGAAATGATTAGGACATGAAAACCTTAACCCAGTCAGTGAATTAATGTCCTGATGGGATTAACTGAAAGGGAACTGAAGATGGGTATAGTGTGTTTGGAGGAGGTGGGTCCCTGGGGATGAGACTTTGTGGTATATATTTTGTTTCTGGAAAGTAGAGTCTCTCTTTCTGCTTCCTAGTCACCACATGAGCTGCTTCCCTTTGCCACAGTCTTCTACCATGATGTTCTGCCTCACCTCACGCCCCAAGGAATGGAACCAGCCTTCTAGCAAATGAAATTGTGAGTCCCTAGATAAACTTTTCCTCCCCTATAATTGTCCTGGTCTGATCTTTTGGTCACAGTAGTGAAAAAACTGAATAAAACAAGGACCCATACCAATGTCTTTTCATTTTTTGTTTTTGTTTTTGCTGTTGTGGTTTTCATTGTTATTAGAGGCACTTTAATGTGAACATCACGTTTACCTACCTTCTGGTGACATCTGTTCACTCTTCCATGTTGACAACCTTTATTTGGGAATATTCTGCAAGGAGTAATAGCAAACAAAAAGCACATCCATGATGCATTCAATTTATTTTGAAATATCAAACCAATAGCATTAAAATGTAGCTATAAAATGTGGTTATTGTTCAAACCTGCAAAATTTGTATAACCATTTAAACCAACCGAAAATATAAATTCATGATGATGTTCTCTGGCCTCCCTTATTTATATTTTTTCACCACCACATATGATAGAAGGGGATTTTCTTAGGCAATAGAGTACAGGATACAAGATCAATTTCATTTAAGGTTTTGCCTTTTTAATTACATTACCTACAACTGGGGAGGGTAGGGAGGGGGCTACTTCCACAGGCAGGTGCAGCAATGATTTGTTTGAGGCTTTTGTGGTTGTTGCTGGTGTTGTTACTTGTCACCTTTCATACATGCCACTTGAATTTTATTAAAATTGCTCTTACAGCCTAAAAGGATATTTTCTTGCATTTTGGAATACTATTGTACATTTCACTGAAAGCTATTAAAGATTCATTTCCATTATTTGAATGCAAGGAGTAGGTTCTAGTTAGATGAGACAAACAGGATGAACAATCTTTAGTTTGGACCTCACTTGAAAAATATTAGCTATGACATCTGGATGTTTTTTTTTGTGTGTGTAGGATTAGTAATAACCTCAGGCAAGACTGTTTCTAACTTTATAGCAGATATATTTTATTGAAAAAATTCACTTTCCTTAAAATAGTACCTTTAATAGCACTGCAAAACACCACTTCATGGAAAATTGATACATAATTTTTTTAAATGTATTTGCTTAGTTGTTAATAAAGAATGTACAAAATTTGGGTCTCTTAAGGAGCAAATAAAAAGAAAAGCTGGCTCTCCAGCTCTCACATGTCCCTGAGTCAACAAAAGCTGGATGGAGGCTGATCAAGAGACTCTGGGAGGCTTTCAGACATTTAATGTGAAAATTTAAATTGATTGCCAATCCTTCAGCTCTGTAAGTAGTGAAGGATGGATTTTTTTTTTTTTTTAGGAAATGTTTTAAAGAAATAATGGAGCTCTTTTTTGTTTTGTTTTGTTTTGTTTCATTTTTTAACAGTAAGAAAGTAGAGGGCAAGGGGAGGAGAAACATTTAAAGGCGGTTCAGCAACTATTAAGGTGGACTCCTAAGTGCAAGGGTTTTTTTTTTAATTAATTTTTTTATTTGTTTTAATTAGTTATGCATGACAAGCACAAGGCTATATAGCATTTTTCAGATGGAATTGCACCAGAATTTATGGAAAAGCAAGCCCAGAATTACCATATGTAAAATACACACTATAATAAACACCATTTCAGATTAGTTCTCGATAGAACAAAGCTATTTGTGTACCAACTCTTTGTAGATATGACTTAGCAAATGCTGTAAAACAAACAACTGAATTCCTGGTCCCTGAACATGTAAAATGCCTTTTCCAGCAAACCATATCTACTTTTCCAATTCAGAGCTATTGGAACTATATGATTCAGAGCTCAATCCTGGAACCCCCACTATAGTCCCAGGAATTGAAACTAAAAATAGATGCATGAGCTGGACACAGTGTCTCACGCTTATAATCCCAGCAGCCTGGGAGGCTGAGGCAGAAAGATCACAAGTTCAAAACCAGCCATGCCTGTAATCCTAACAGCTCCAGAGGCTGAGGCAGGAGGATTGCAAGTTCAAAGCCAGCCTCAGCAATTTAATGAGGCCCTAAGTAACTCAGTGAGACTCTGTCTCTAAATAAAATACAAAAGAGAGCTGGGAATGTCACTCAGTGGTTAAGTGCCCACTGGATCAATACCCAGTACCAAAAATAAATAAATATTAAACAATTTTTTTTGAAAATTTAAAATAAAAAATGAGCTAGGAATGTGGCTCACTGGCCACGTTCCCCTGAGTTCAATCTCTTGTACAAAAAAAAAAAAGTGCTTGAGGAAAAAGTTTTGGATTAGGTCCAATCAGTTGTGTTTAGTATAAATAAGATAGAGTTTTCATACATGCCTAGGGTATTCTTACACTCATCCCCAGTGTACAAAGTTTGGTGGTTTTGGCTCTGTCCATGATAAGTGCAATCCCAGAACACAGCAAAAGCCAGTAGGTCATTCTGACCTGGCTCTGTCAGTTGCAGTCACCCACGGGTCATCTGTATCCTTCCAAACAGATATAAGAATTTAATCCTGAGGCCCAGCATCATTTTTCTCCCAGGGTTGCTTGGTAAAAAAATAATCTAATGAACTTCTGCTTTGGGGCTTGCAGACTAGGTAATTAATATCAAACTTTCCACCAAAGATAGATTAAAAAAACAAGATAAAATATTTTTAAAACATTTTGAATATTTTAAACAACTTCTTAAAAAAATAACAAAGAGCTAACAAGAGAGTGGGAACAATGAAGATTAAGATCCAAAGGAGACAAAACCCAGAGAATGTAGGCGGCTTTGCCTGTTAGCATTTGTCTATTTGGAAGCAATAGCTGAGAAACTAAACTGTATAATTCACAGCACTGAGGACCTGAGAGACAGAGTAGCCCAAGGCCACCAAGGTTGGGAAACTTGTTAAACAACCCTCTGCTTTTGGCTGGGAACTTAAAGACTCCACACTTGAAATAAAGGGAAACTGAAAGAAACAAAGCTCTTGTTATTCACAGAAAACGTAATTGAGAACACAGAGAATTCAAAAGACCTACAAATAGATTATTAGACCTTATTAAGTGAATTTATCAAGATCACTGAATACCAGAAGAAAATCAGTTACGTTTCTCTATGCCAGCCAGCATCAAACAAGTAGAAAATGAAGTTTTCAAAACAATGTCATCTACAACATCAACTTAGAAATAAATCTAATAAAAGATATGTAAGACTTTATGCAGAAAATAACAAAACATTATTACAATAAATTAAAGATCTAAATAAATAATCACATAGACCATACCAATTCTCCCTAAGTTATACTTTACACTGAAATCTCAACCAAAATTTTAGTCACACACAAACTGTGTGTGTTAGATAACTACCTGACACTCAATTTTTATGAAATCAAACAGACCAATAGCCAAAACAAGCATAAGGAAGACAGTTGGACAATTTACCATTTAACTGGGAATCGTGAAAACCATAGGAATTAAGCCAATGTGCTGCAGATACATTAACAGACAAATAGACCAACAGAAGGCTAGAAGTCCAAACTCATGCCTATGTGGTCACTTAATTTGTGAAAAATGTAGCACTGTAGAGAAGTGAGAAAGGCTCTTATTTTTTTTAAAAAAAAAGGGTGCTGAATTAATTGAATATCCATATGGAAAACAATGAAAATTCACCCTTACTTCACATCATAGTAAACATCAATTCTAGGCAGATTATAGATTTAAACGTGAAAAAGTGAAATAGTCGAGTATTCCAAAGATAACATAAGGAAATGACTTGATGACCTTGAGGTAGGCAAAGATTTGTTTAAAACATACACACACACACACACACACACACACACACACACACACACTGGGAATATTGATTCACTGGACTTCAATAATGTTAAGAATTTCTTTTTTAAAAATTTTTTATTCTAATTTTTTATATATGACAGCAGAATGCATTACAAATTATATTACACATATAAAGTACAATTTTTTATATCTCTGATTGTATACAAAGTATATTCACACCATTTGTTTCTTCATACATGTACTTAGGGTAATGATTTCTATCACATTCCACCCTCTTTTCTACCCCCATACCTCCTCCCTTCCCTTACCACCCCTTTCTAGACTTTGTCTAATCTTCCCATGCTCTCCCTGCCAACCCCACTATGAATCAACCTCCTTATATCAGAGACAACATTCAGAATTTGTTTTTTTTGTGATTGGCTAACTTCACTTAGCATTATATTCTCCAACTCTATCCATTTATCAGCAAATGCCATATTTTATTTTCTTTTATTGCTGAATAATATTTCATTGTGTGTGTGTGTGTGAGTGTGTGTATATATATATATATATACCACATTTTTTTATACATTCATCTACTGAAGGGCATTTAGGTTGGTTCCACAGTTTAGCTATTAAGAATTGTGCTTCTATAAACATTGATGTGGCTGTGTTCCTGTAGTATGCTGTTTTTAAGCCCCTTAGGTATAGACCAAGGAGTGGGATAACTAGGTCAAAAGGTGGTTCCATTCCCAGTTTTCCAAGGAATTTCCATATTGCTTTCCATATCTGCTGCACCATTTTGCAGTCCCACCAGCAATTTATGAGTGTGCCTTTTCCCCGACATCCTCGCCAACACTTATTGTGGTTTTTATTCTTAATACCTGCCATTCTGACTGGAGTGAAATGAAATCTTAGAGTAGTTTTGATTTGCATTTCTCTAATTGCTAGAGATATTGAACATTTTTTCATATATTTGTTGATTGATTATATATTGGCTTCTGAGAAGTGTCTGTTCAGTTGGCCCATTTATTGATTGGGTGTTATCTTTGAGTTCTTTATATTCCCTAGAGATTAGTGCTCTATCTGATGTGCAAGTGGTAAAAATTTGCTCTCAAGCTGTAGGCTCTATTCACCTCTCAGATTGTTTCTTTTGCTGAGAGGAAGTTTTTTAGTTTGAATCTATCCCATTTATGTGATTCTTGATTTTAATTATTGTACTATAGGAGTCTTATTAAGGAAGTAGGGGCCTAATTAAACATGATGGAGATTACGGTCTACTTTTCCTTCTATTAGATGCATGGTCTCTGATTTAATTCCTAGGTACTAGATCCACTTTGAGTTTTGTGCATGGTGAGAGATAGGGGTTTAATTTCATTTTTTTGCTTATGGATTTCCAGTTTTCCTGGCACCATTTGTTGAAGAGGCTTTCTTTTTTCCAATGTATGTTTTTAATTATGTAGGCTAGTCTCTGTGTCCTCTATTCTGTACCATTGGTCTACCAGTCTACTTTGATGCCATACCATACTGGTTTTGTTACTATTGCTCTGTAGTATAGTTTAAGGTCTGGTATAGTGATGCTACCTG